ACAGAGATCTGGAGAAAAGGGTGATGGGCATGGGGTGGGGGCAGTGGGGACACTGGAGCCCTTTGGTGACAGCGAGCATAGTTCAACCAGGGACTAAGGGGTAGGAGACCCTCTGTGGACACTGCTGGGTTTCCAGTCTGCACCCCTTGGAGCAGAGAGAAAGCTAACTAGGGGCTGTGGGCCCAGCAGCCTCCACACTGAGACTCAGACCACACACACAGTGACCCACAGACACACCACAGGCCACGCCAGGACAGCAGTGTGCGAGCACCAGTGCCAACACCGACAGTGCACAGCCTCACCCCTCCTCCCCTCCAGCCCCGCTAATGCACACTATCACAGGCACACACACTGGGCCCCAACCAACTCAGGCAGATCCACACCCCCAAAACAGAGCCATACAGACTGCCAGACAGGGTGCCTCTGGGCAAAGTCAGCCATGGACACCCCAAGCTGGCCCTCAGCCCTCACAGTGAGGACTCAGCAGCACGCATTACAGATGCCTGCATTTGAACATCCTCCCCACCCCCTTCACTCACACCCACCACACTCCTGTCCTGTCATGAGGAGACAGAGCATCCCAGCCCCACGGCGCCCAAGGGGCCTGATTAACAGGAAATTCTACGAATGCCAATTAGAGAAAAGTTTACTGAACAAATTGTTTGCAGTTGTGCCCCGGAACCATCATGAATTTTAATTTTGCATTGATTTGTGCTGATATGAGGCTTGCAGATGCCAGGGCCTTGGGTGCCTCCTCCCCTGTCCCCTGTCTGGGAGGTAACATCGCCTAGCCTCATACTAGGGTAGCCTCCAGCCTCTACCAGTCCAGAGGCAGGCACCACCAGCCCAGCCTCGGGAGACCCAAGATGCCTAGAAAGTGGGCATGAGTTTTGGAAATGTGCATTGTGGAAAGAAGACCCTAAGGACTCCAGTAGTCTGGGGAAGGGGCTAGGGTTCCTGGAGTGTCTGGGGCCAGGCACAAACGTCAGGTCACAGATGTGGCTGTATACACAAATGGACGGAGATGGACACAATGTTGGTTGCTTCTACTAATACCACATCAACTAGCATGTTTGTCTCTAACAAGGTCTACTTCCACAAGAAATTTGACCCTATCTTCTCCCTTCCACCAAATCCTCTTCCCAAATGCTTCCACAGTTTCCCATTGCTTAAAAAAAAAATCCTGGCCTCTGTAATCCCAGCACTTTGGGAGGCTAAGGCAGAAGGATCACAAGTTCAAGCACAGCCTGAGCAACTTCATGACTTAGTGAGACCCCGTCTCAACATAAAGAGAAAAAAGTCTGGGAATGCAGCTCACTGTGAAGGCCCTGGGTTCAGTCCCTAGTAGCATCACCAAAAAACCAAACAAAACAAAAACCCTACTGGTCTGATCTGCAGACCCCAAACCATCTCACTCTCAACCTCTTCTCTCCCTCTCTTACCCAGCCATTGTCAGCTCTTTCAGGAGCCACCTTGGGATCTTCGGACATTTCATTCTTCTGTGTGGGACTGTTTACCTAGCAAGGCCTACTCAACTCTCGGTTGTATTCAAGCCTCAGCTCTTCAGGGAATCCTCTTTTACCCTTCTGCCTAGATCCACCCTCCCCACCTCGGGACCCTCCCCTCACTAGAGTGTAAGCTGCCCAAGGACAGGGACTCGTGGCTCACCACTGTATCCTGGCACTTAACACAGGCCCTGGCATGGAATAGAAGCTCTGCGTGACTCGGTTTCCTGCCATAGTCATCCTGTATCACAAACCACCTCTGAGCTGGGGTTCAGGTTGACTGGTTTTGGCAGGTAGCTGGGCTATGATCACCTGGGCCTGGTTTTAACATGTGGGTTGAGGGCAGCTACTTGGGATGTGTTCTGAAAAAGGCAGGAATACAAGAGAATATGCCCAGCCATGTGGCAATCCCTTGGCCAATCCCTGAGACCATGGCAAGGGTGCAGATGTGGTAGAGGAAGTTAAGAATTGGGAGCAATTAGCCGGGCCTGGTGGTGTACACCTGTAATCCCAGCACTCGGGAGGCTAAGGCAGGAGGATCACTGCAAGGTTAAGCACAGCCTGGACTACACAACAAGAGCCTGTCTCAAAGAAACAAACAAACAAAAACAAAACAAAGCAAAACAAAGAATTGGGAGCAATTGAATCCACCACATAAATATTTGTAGTGTGGAACCGAGGTGTAAGGCATTGTGCTAAGGACTTTACATGCATTAATTCACTTAGTCCTCTGGTCAACCCTCTATTATTGGCCCCATTTTTTAAAAAATAGCTTAATGAAAAAATAAAGTCTGTGCAAAGTAAACAACTCAATCATACCAACTATATTCAATGAAAAGTCATTCTTCTTTCTACTCCAGTCCCAGGACTATTCCCTAGAGAGGAAGCACTATTTGAATTGTTTTGTAGACTTTCAGATACAGTCTCTGCAATACAAGCCACACGCACACACACATGCACACACACTTGTACACATGCACAAGCTATGCTTTTTAAAAGCCGTGACTCAGTACATACCACATTAAACTGTCTTTGTCTTGATTTCGCTTTGTTTTCCATGACTACAGTAATATATCTTGGAGTTCCTTTTTCACCCATCAAATTGATCTATGTTATTTTTCACTTATTTCCATTTCACAGATTGAGACTTAAAGAAGAAACTGCAGCGGAGTATTACAGCTCCAAAGACACCAGGCTGGGATTGAAACATGAGTGCGCCTGACTTCAGAACCTCTATGCCCCACCCCTCCATGCACTGATATGTCAGGAGCACCCCAGGGTGCCCAGCTTGGGTAGACTAGACCCAGACCAGAACTTCTGTGCTGCAGGGATGGTAGTGGGCCCATAGTGATGCCAGGTCCACGGGGCTGCTGGACCACCCACCATTTTGATGCCCCAGCGAGGCTGTAGGCAGCCTCTCAGGATGTTGGGTCAAGTCTTACCTTCCCTACTTCTCCCAGGAGAGGAAAATTCCCCAGGCAGAACTGCCCCATCCTATCTCTGTCTTTAACTTACTTTCTGCCTTCCAGCGGGAGTGAGTGCTTCCCCTGTGTGTGAAAAGGAATGATGTCCCCACCCCTCTCCCAGAGGGAAGCACCTGACTTATGGCAAACCTGGGCCTGGGCCATGGGTGCCACAGTTTTGTGTGAGCATGGGGAGGGTGCAGACTGAAAGGCTTGGGAGGCACTCTGATACTTACTCCTGGGCTAGGTCCCTGCAGTTACCTCAGGGACAGCCTAGAGCCCAGTCCCTCTCTGTGGACCCAGCGCCTTGTTACAGGGTTAGTACAGTGTTGGAGCTTAAAGTCTCCCTGGCCTCTCACTAATTCCAGGGCCTTGGGCTCTTCATATATTCCAGGCATGGGCAGCCCTGCCGCATGCACGCAATGCTCCTGACAAGTCTATTAAGTAGGTATTATCCCCAACTGATGCAAAGTCTTGGAAGCTGCCTCAAGGCCAGGAGGCAAAGAAGGAAAAAGTTTTGTTTTTCTGAGTCTCAGTTTCCCCCTGCAAAGTGGTATGATAATGGCCATCTCTTACAGTTCTGATGGGGATTAAGTGAACTAATGTAAGCAAACCACAGGCACAAAGTAGGTGATCAGTAAAAGTGAATTCCCTTCCCTATCCTCTTAGAAATGGAGGGAGTATTGGGAAAGTACATCACAGTTTCCTCCGAGATGTTAAGAGTTACCTGGGGTCTAGCCCTGAGGAACATTATTCAAGTGGTCCAGCGGTCTAGGCTGCAGCCTGGACATCAGGATTCTTAAAACTTATCAAGTGCGAGCTAGGGATATAGCTCAGTTGTAGATCACTTCCTTAGCATCTGCAAGGCCCTGGGTTCAATCCCCAGTACTACAAGGAAAAAACAAAAACAAAAACAGCTCCCTACGTGATTCTAGCTGAGAAGCACTGTATTCTGGACCCTAAGTGAGTGGAGGGTGCAAATTGCAGGAGGCCTTCTGCCCTGTCAGCTCCTGAAGGAGCCTGTGCCTGGTCAGCTAACTGAAAGCAGGAGCTCCAACATGGTATACTTAGTACGTGCAGGGCTCTGGACTCAATCCCCAGTACTGCAAAAAACAAAACAAAGGAAAACTTAAAACTTCCCTTCAGTAATTTCCCATTGCATTTAACAGTTTTTAAAAAATAATATACATCCTTGCCAGCTGTAGGCCCTGTGCCCATGAACCCTACCTCTGGTCTCCTTGCCTTTGCCACATTGCCTAATCTAGACTTTTTTTTTTTTTTCTGGTACCAGGAACGGAACAACCCAGGGCCTTTGCACTGAGCTACATCTTAACCCTTTTTATTTTATTTTATGTTTCTTGAGATAGGGTCTCACTACATCACTAAGTTGCCTGGGCTGGACTTCCGGAATACTGGGACTATGAGTATGCATCACCATGCCCAACTCCTGCTGGGCCTTCACATTGTACCTGTCCCAGCACTTCCACAAAGTGGTTTCCCTGACCAATCATTCTCAGTTTTGTTCACCCAGATTGTTAAATGCATGATGCAATAAACAGACCACATTTAATATCTTTCCTTTCCTTGTGTCATTCCAATTTTAGTATATGTGCTGCCGAAGCAAGCACTTTCCTTTCCTTCTGTATTCGCCTATTCACTATTAGACTCTAAGCTCTGGGAGGACAGGGACTACATCTGTTTTGGTTCGTGGTTGCACTCCAGTGGTCAACAGAGCAGCTGGCATAGTCAGTGCTTAATAAATATTTGTTGAATGATACCAGCCCCACAGCATCTTGGAGGGCTAGGTGCTCTGGAATTTCTTAATTATTTAAAGTACATATATTAATAATACCTCCTATATAGTGAGTACAGTCGGCCCTCCATGTCCATAGGCTCCACATCTGCAGATTCAACCAACCTTGGAAGGAAAATATTCAGAAACAAATTGCCACTGTACTGAATAAGTATAGACTTTTTTCTTGCCATTATTACCTAAAAATACAGAATAACAACTATTTACATAGCATTTATATTGTATTAGGCATTATAAGTCATCCAAAGATGATTTAAAGTACACAGGAGGATGTGTGTAGGGTGTATGCAAACCATCTTATATAAGGGACTTCAGCATCCACGGATTTTGGGAACCAAGGGAGGTCCTGGAAGTGGTCCCCTGAGGATCCTAGGATGAGGGATGGCTGCCCTTGCATTTCAGCTGGAGGACGATGGAGAGAATGACAAGGGCCTCCCTCTTCATCCTCTCTGCACCCTCAAAATCTTCTGGACTTGGGCCGGGGACTTAGCACAGTGGTTCCAGTGCCTGCCTTGTAAGCGGAAGGTCCCAAGTTCGATCCCTGGTACCAAAAAAAAAAGAAAAAAATCCCTGTTGTGAAAGGACAGCCTCAAATAAGGCAGGGTCTGCACACCTTCTCCAAGAAATAATGGGGATGCAGTTGAGCCCTTCCATCATTTTGATAGTGGCTTTCCCGTCACACTTAGTAAAGGTGCTACAATTACTGGGGCCACCTCTGGCATGAGGAAATTTAAAGGAAGACAGAATCATAGAATGTCAGGCTGACATAGACCTAATGCCATACATCTCAGCTCACAGGTGGAAAAAAAAAAAAGAGGCCCCTAGAGGCTTCCCACACCCACCTAAAAGCAGCCATCTATGTTTGTGATGTAGATTCACTTGATATTTCTACCCATGTTCTCATGCCTGAGCCGGGTCCTCTGCAGCCAGCCTAGTTGTTGCTTTGGTAGATTTCCATTTTGAATTTCAACTCTCTTACCCAAAAGCCCCCGGGAGCCTCCTGCTTCCTCTCATTTCTGTGTCTTTAAAGAAACTCTCCTTGCCTACGCTTCCTCCCTTTGGATTTTGTCCTTTGGAGCTAATGCACTCTCTTTCCCTCTTTTCCTGCTTTCCTTCCTTCTCTCTTTCCTCTCTTCTCCTCCCACCCCGTCATCATCTTCTTCCTTTTTCTGCAGAGGAAGAGGAAGCCTCAGGAGACCTCTAACCCCAAGATCCCCAACCCATTCGTGGCCACCCACCCTCCCTGGTCGGGCGAGGGCTGTGGGGGTCCTCTGGCTGCACTGCAGTGTCTTTGACTGCAGCTTCCCCCCCTTCTCAGGGTTGCTGGAAGATTATTAGATAATTTTCAAATTTGTAAAGCGCCTTAAGCTCCTCGGAGGCAAGGTGGTATATGAGTGTAATAACAATAACAATCCTATCTGTCAGAGCCATTGAGAAAATGAATCTTGTTATCCTCAGGAACCAGCCGTAGGAACCTCAGCAAGAAACATGAAAATAAAGCGTGGAGCTCAGTCTCCTGACCAATCAAGGGAGGGGAAATTGTCACCCAAGAGCTGAGGAGGCCTTCCAGCCCCCCTTCCCACAGCCCAGGGCTAGCAGTAAGGGGCTCTCAGAAAGTCACTCAAATTGCCTCTGACGCTTCACCAATTAAAATGACTTTAGGACAAGTTGAAATCAACTTAGGGAGCAAAGCATTCTGATTTGTGAAACTCTCCGAAGGCAGCGGGAAGGCAAGTGTCTGAGCAGGTTGTCACTCACTCAGGAGTAATGATGGGAAAATCCATCAGGGTAACGTGATTGAGTTTGGTGAATTAGTAAGGATGTTTACATTGCTCGCAGAAAGTCAGAATGGGGCTGGCTGGACCGCCAGGGTTTTTGACATGTGTGGCAGCTTCACTCCTAATGAGGTTCTCGGACTTGACAGTCACCCTGGCTGGACTCAGTGTCACTGAATTCAAGTCTAGCTAGGTCTCACTCTTTAGGCAAGTGGCTAAGGGCAGGGGTGGGCTCTCCAAGAGCTGGGTTCAAGTTCTGGCTCTGTTATGAACAGCCCAGTGCCTTGGGCCAAGCATTGTCCTCTACAAGCCTCATTCTCTCCATATAAAAAATCTACATGACAGCCAGGCATGCGTGTAGTCTCAGCATTCTAGGAGGCTGAGGCTGAGGCAGAAGGATGCCAAGTTCAAGCCCAGCCTAGGCAATTTAGCAACCTAACAAGACCCTGGTCTCAAAATAAAAAAGGGCTAGGGATATAGCTTTGTGGGAAAGCCCTGGGTTCAACCCCTAGTACCACCTAAAAAAGGTCTGCATGATGCTAGCATAATTCATTACAAGGTCTGGTGTGAGAAAGAAATAAGATGAGCAATTTTTTTCTTTACTTCTTATTCACCTCCCAGGTCCAGAGTGTTACGGAGAGAAAGGAAAGTCAGTGGGGACCATCTCCTCTTGCCTGGAGTGTCCACTCCCTCAGGAGCCAAGGGGTGTCAGGAAGGCAGAGTCCTGAGCTCACATCTTGATGTGGCCCTTCCTGCTGTCTGATCTTAAACAAGTCACTTACCTCTCTGAGCCTTGGTTCTGTCATCTGTACAATGGGACAAGCAGGCTGTGGGTTTCTGAATAGAACTCCTGAGAGTTCTGAGCAGATGTTTTTTAGTGTGCAAGGGGGCTGGTGGTCTCCAGGAGGACATCTGAACAGAGAGAACAGAACAGATTGCTCTTTCTGGTGACCCCAGCTGCCTGACTGGGGAAGAGGATTCAAAGAACTGACTGGGGACCGTGTGAAGGAATGGGAATGGGAAGACAGCAGTGGGAAGAGCTTTTGTCAACTAACCTTGCTGGGAAGCACCAAAGGACATTACAGAGACTGCAGCATAAAAGTCTAAAGTCAGACTGGAAATAGACTTCCAGCCAATTGGGCAGAAACAAGCCCACTGCTTCTGGGGGTCTTTGGCTATATATGAGCAAAGTCTCTCCCAAGAGGAGGAGCTCACCTGACCTTCTGGGAGGAGGGCAGATAGGTGAGTGAGCAGCCCTGAAGATGTTTCCACAGGGAAGAAGGCCACCGTGGCCTCGTCGGTGAGCCTCATCTTTGGGAGGCCTTGTGGAACCTACAGTGACCCTGAAAGGAAGTCACTGGTTCATTCTGGAGCAGGGACCATGTCCTCACAGACATGCCCAGGTCAGCACCAGGCCACAACTCGATTATTTAAGGTTTTCATAAAAGAGCAACCCTCTGGGGCTGGAAGAATGGCCGGGATCCTGACTTCCTGCACAGGAAATGCAGCAGCTGTGCCTGAGGCCTGGCTTGACCTGCCAAGGACTCATCGGCCCTTGCAGAAGTTTCCCAGCCTATAAGAGGTCCTGCTGTAGTGGACACGATTACACCTGGCCCGACTCATTCCTCCCCTCCACCCTGAGCCAGGCCCACCCACCCTTTCGCCTCTGCTTGTGGACTCTGCACTGATTTTATTGTAATTTCCTCCCTGTTGAAGCTAATAGCATTAGTTTGTTAATTACTGTATATTTTAAAAGTAAAAGGAAAGGGAATTCCCACTGGAGACTTGTTCTTGGCTGAAGCAATGTGACGCGAGGGAAGGGAGTGTGATGGCAGGGTAATGAGCTTTCCGGGCTGGTTTCTGCTTCTCCTGATAGCACCTGAGACCAGAGAGGGGCTGCCAAGGTAGGAGGCACCCACCCAAACCCCTCCCTCTAGGCACAGGACCTCAGCAGTTTCACTCTGAGTTTCAAACTTCTGAGCCCCTCCCCTAGTTCTGCACTATTACCAGAGGAGGCCTCAGGCCTAAGGTGAAGGGGTTGAGCCAGGATCCCTGAGGCTGAAGGAACCAGACCAGAGTAAAATGAGATGCTGAGGAGTCTGGACTGTGACAAGGGAGATTGATTGAGCCAGATGGAGTTCTGATTAGGAAATAGCTGGAATTTGTGGCCAGGCTCCTACACTAAAATTCATCAGGACACAGCCCTAGAGAGAGAGTGGGGTCAGGGACTCAGGTTAGGGAACTGAGATCCGGTCAAAGCAGGAAGAAGGGCTGATATTGGGCCCTTGTGCTGCTGGTCATACTGTGGCCACATCCGGGGACCTTTGGTACCTCGTGTAGTTGAAGGGACTCAGTGTGGGCTAGCTCCCACTCTTCCCATGGAGTCATCCGGAAGGGAAGTTGGGCCAGAGCCACAGATGCAGGAGGAGCTGGGGTAGAGGATGAGGAAGAGGGGAGAGGGAGGCGGGGGAGGGAAGGAAGGAGGCAGCGAGAGAGGGAGAGAGAGACTCACAGACAGAGAAGGATGGAGACTGAGAATGAAATTCATACAATCTAGAGGAACTGATTAAAATCCTGGAAGAAAATGTGATGGAAAGACTTTCTATCTTCCTATTGAGACATTTAACCTAAAAGAAATGAGTTAAATAATTTATACAGAGAACGAGTGAAATTTGCTTTGATCAAATTAAAAAATATGACTGTGGAAATAAAGTGTCCGCCGTGTCCTTTCTAGGCAGCAAAAAGAGCTGCCGAGAAACAAAATGACAAAGACATAAAAATAACTAACCCTAACCCAGCGAATATTAGCACCATATTTTTTGGGAGATTACATAGCATCACTGTAGGCCACGCAGAGAAATCCTCTGTAAGCACCAACAGGAGAGGTCTTGCTCATTGTGGAAGCCCCATAAAAAGCAGAAAATGGATAAAATTTTCCTTTGCAAAAGCGATCCAACTTCACTCAGGGGTTGGCCCAGAAGCCACAAGGGATCAAGTTAAATTTCCCACTTGTGCATTTCAAAAACAGAAGGAAGTTGCTTGGCTCCCCACCTCAACTTTGTATTTCTTGAAGACAGTTCCTGTTCTTCCATGTATCCTGCACACATGCGCACATGCGCGCACGCACACACAAACATACACACACACTCATCCACTCTCAGGAAACATCACAGATGAGCTCCGACACTGCTGAGCCAGGGGTAAGCATGAATACCACGGACTTAACCTGTCTGATTCTCAATGTGCCACTCTCCAAGTGGACTCAGCTTCCCTGGACAGGGTCAGAGTGTGGGTTCGAGAAGCCAGGCAGACAGGACAGTTAGTGAGGGTTTGAGACCCTCTCTTTCCCTTCAACCTGAAACATCCAGCAGGTGCAGCCTGGGATGCCAGAGATCGCTACCTCATCTACAGCTCCTCTTGGAGAGCCTATGGGACACCATCAGTCCAGTCCAAAAGAGAAAGTTCAACTTGAGGCCCACTAGTCCTACTGATTGTGGGGGCTCAGGTGACCAAAAAACACTTAGTTCTGGAGAGAACATGCAGAGATTAAAAGCAAGGGCCTTATTTTTATTTATTAGCTTGTTTTTGTATTTTTGAGACAGGGTCTCCTTACGTAGTTCAGGTTTGCCTCAAACTCACTATGTAGCCAGGGATTTAGCTCAGTGGCACCTCACCTGCCTCACAAGTGCAAGGTCCTGAGTTCAATCCCCGGTACCAAAAAAAAAACAAAAAAAAACTCACTGTGTAGCTCTGGCTGGCCTTGAACTTAAGGCGATCCTCCTGCCTCAGCCTCCTGAGTGCTGAGATTACAGGTGTGTGCCACCATGCCCTGTTAAAAGCAAGAGCTTTAAGTCAGACAGAACTAGTTTCAAATTTTGGCTTTCCCATTACATAGCTGTGTGACCACAGCAAAGCGAACTTACTCTATCTCCTCATCTGCAAAACAGGAATAATAATGAAATGGGTCTCCTGGAACTGAATGAGGTAAGGGATAGAAACATGTTGTAAAAGTTCCATAAATGACAACAGTTGTTATTTTCTGCCGTGGCCTTGGGAGAGCCATTCAAGGTCAGAGTGAATTTTCTTTCCACATGATTAGCTGTGGTTTCTGATCCCCAGATAGGAGGCCATTGCTGACGTCTGTTCTGGCTGTACCATAGGAAGGGCTATGTGTTTTGAGGCCACCTCTAATGATTCTCCTTGGTAGCACAGAGGAGGGGACCCAGCAAGAGGGGGACAACTCGACCCACTGACCCATGAGGCCTGGAGGAAGGGCAGGAAGGCTACGGGCACAGGGGAGCGGGATGGGAACTTGCCCATTCCCAAAGACCTGCCATCTGCCAGAGTCTGCAAGTGAATGTGGGGTGCTACTGAAGCAGCTCTTGAATACCAGGAGCTTTGCAGCAATGTAGAATCTCCTTCCAAAGGTAGTGAGTTCCCTGTCCCTGGGGAGCATGTAAACAGACCCTTGGGGTAATGAGAGGGGCTTTGAACACCCACTAAGGACTGCTTTAGGGATCCCGGTGCAGCTCTCAGAAGGACTCAAGCACAGAGCCCACCCACCCTGCTTGATTTTGGGGTTTCTACCCCGCACCCTTTTTCTCTGTTCCTCCTACTTTCCTCCTTTATGAAATTATCATTTCTTCTCCCTGCCCCATCCCTCTAAGGACCTCTGAGAAAAGCAAAGACCATATGGGATACAGTCTGTGCACATTGTGGTTTGTTTTGTTGAATGGTGTGAAGAGAAAAGGAGACACAGGTAATGGACAGGCAGATGATGAGAGACAGAGAGAGAAGGAGAGAGAGAGGGAGGGAGGAAACAGAGACACAAAGAGAGGGAGAAGCAAGAAAGACAAAAGAACAGACAAACAGAAAAAGAGGAAAAAAGAAATTCTGAAAGGGAAAAAATAAAAACAAAAAAATAGAAGAAATTCAAAGAGACAGAGACAGAGACAGAGAGAGACAGAGGGAGACAAAGAGAGACAGAGGAGCAGTGGCAGACTGTACCTGCTGTTGTTCAGGAAGCCAGTTGTGGGTAGGCCCAGGGCACACTCGTGTGCATGCTCAGGCATGGCTGCTGAGCCACCATGTCAGTGCGAGTGTGTCAGCCCCGGGATGGGGATGAGCCCGCTTTTATCTCCTCTGGCTACAGAGGATTTATAAGCCTTTGAAATGCAGGATTAATAAGAAGAGGCCAGTGTTTTAATCTATAATGGAACAGAAAGTATCATTATTGTTAAATAATGCACAGCCTGTCGTTTATTAAGAATTAATGGTTTACTGAGTGCTCAAGTTGCTGCAGCTGCCTGTGCCCTCCCAGGCCTGGGCTCCTAGCTGCGGGCCTGGCTGTCAGGCCACGCCCCCCGAGTCCACCTGCCCACAGGCAGGCTGCAGGGGCAGCAGGCAGCTGGCTGCTTCTGGTCAGAGTTTGCCCATCAGTGGTTTTTCCCTTGCAGGGCTGCAGCGGGGGAGACAGGTAGAGAGGTGGAAAGGTGATGGGATGGCATCCCCCCCATTCCTTCAACTGGGACCCATCTCCTTCTTCTGAGGAGACTGAGAAAAGTGTTCTCACCACATGAGGCTCACTCATCCCACCTCTTTCTAGTCCTACAAAACTCAGCTTGGATTTCTCACATTGAGTCCTCTGGAAGTGGTGACAATACAGACACCAGGGACAGAAGGTGCCCTCTCTCCTCTCCTCCCACTGGGGTCTGGAAGGAGAGAACACACATATCTCAGGAGAAACAAGTACCTGCACAGGCCAGCTGGTCCCGGCAGAAGGGACCCACCTTTACCAAAAACTTTCTCTGGGCCCAGCCTCCTACACATGGCACCTCACTGTATCTGCATCGCCACCCTGACACTGTCTCCATTTCACAGATGGAAAAACTGAGGACTGGGGAACAGCTGCCCAAGGCCACACTGCAGATGGCAGAAATGAGCTATTCTACTTTATTCCAAAGCCCTTTCCACACACTTTAAGGCACCAGTTCTGTGCTCCCTTATTGTCTCAAAATGAATGGCTTCAAGGAAAGCATTTGAGAATTGCCACAGGATCTCTGTGTGTGTCACATGGAGCTGCCACTGCGGTGGTGCACCAGGCAACAGCAGACCCAACGTATTCACCAGCAGGGAAACTGAGTCGTGAGGCAGTGAGTGACTGTCAGGGATGGCAACCAGGGGCCTGACACCGGATAGCTTAACATCACAGCTAGACTCCATCCTTGAGTCCTGTGATACTCCATCCTTGCTCCCTGGCCTCCTCAATTGCCAATCTGCATGGTTTGGGACTCTGGCAGAAATACCCAGGCCCTGGGCCAGGGATCTACCTCAGTGGTTCCATGCCTGCCTGTCGAGTGCAAGGTCCTGAGTTCGATTCCTGGTATCAGGAAGAAAAAAAAAAAAAGACATATCCAGGTCCAAACACAGATGCTGGCTATGTATTCATCCAGCCAATCTGAGGCAGGAATTAGAGCTGCTTGATCCTGGGCAAATTACAAGTTACTCAACCTCTGAATCTGTCACGACGATAGTCCTCTCTTCAAAGGATCGTTGCATGTACTGAGTGAGGTCTTCCACATCAGAATGTGGCACTTGGTTTTGATGCCAGGACAGAGTGGCTCTGGTGTTGCTGGGGGGAGCAGGCTCCCAGTGCCCATGCCACCCAGCCCTGCCCTACTCATTCATCCCACAAATAGATGGGAGCATCAACTATGTGACACAGACACATGTCCCAAGCACCCGACACGTCACGCTCTGTGCTCAGCAGAAGTGGGCCCCGGGAGAGGCTGTGCAGAGGCCCCATGCCCTTCCTTATCACCTTCTTTCTCTGCCCGATCATCTCCTTCCCTTCCAGTTTCATCTCCACCTTCTCCCTGCAGCATCATCCCCACTCTGCTCCCTGCGCCCCATCCCAGCTCATCTCCATGCCAGCTCCCACCACACTCCATCCTCCATTTCACTCCCATCTCTTCTCTCTTCCCCTTCTTACTCTCCATCCTCAAGCTCCACCCCCTTCCTGCCTCATCCCCGTCTCACCCCAATCTCCTTCCCAGTGCCCACCTTTCACTGCCTGTGTTTCCTTTACCCCATCTCCATTTCTCTCCCTCCTCACCCCCAGGTCCAGGACTCCTCCCATTCCAATTAGAGGTTCAGGGTCCTGATGGAGGAGGGGACACTGTCCCTAGAGGCCATAGCGAGAAGGTGGATTCCAGGGGATGAACCCCAAATCCCCCAGGGCTGGTGCAGCCCCAGCACCTGCTGTAGGCAGTCTCCCCATTGGCTGGAGTAGGGAGGGCGCTGACTGAGCCGCAGCCAGGCTCTTCACTCCCCACCCCCATCGTCCCTCTCTGCTCTGGGCGAGCCACCACACTGGGACCTCAGCCCACAGCCTAGCTCCTCACGCGGCTCCTGTTTTATTAACCTGCCTGTCGCTGCTCTCGCCACTGAATAGGGCCTGTGGGGGGGCCTCGAAGGGGGGCCCTGGGCTTTGCTGGGGATCACCATGGAAACAGCAGCCTCGGCCAATCAACGGGCAGGCAGCACCGAGGGCAGCGGGCGGCTCGGTCTCCGAAGCCTCGCCCTGTGCAGCCCGCGGGCTGACTCCTGCCTGACAGGCCCTCCACAGACCCTGCCTGCCGAGGCAGAGGATAAAAGGGGGGACAAGACCCTAGGAGAAGGGGTCTTGGCAGCAGAGTGGGTGTCAGGGATTGTGAGGCCAGGGGCGCTGAGGGTTGGACTAGAAGAGGAGCAGTGATCAGGGAAGGTGATCAGAGACACTTGGCGTGGGCATTTGAACATAGCACACCGGGGGCTGTCTGGGGATAGGGGCCGAATTTCTCCCCAGCTCAGTTCTCTGTCTAAGCCAGGATTTCTCAACCTCAGCACCGCTGACATTTGGGGCAAAGTAATGCTCTGCCATGGGGGCCTGTGCATTGCAGGACCTTTAGCTGCACCCCTGGCTTCTACCACTAGGAGCTCTCCCTCCCTCTCCAAAAATGCCTCTGGACATTGCCAAATGTCCCTAGGGGCAGGAGGGACCAAAACTAGGCCTCCTAAGAGCCACTGGTCTAGGGGCTCACAGGCCAGCAGTCGCTATTCGAGAGTTGCTGTCTCTGAACGGGGTTCCCTGAGGGGATGAAGGAAAGACTCAGAGGACAGGAGTGGGACTGGAAGAGAAAGGAGAAGGAGAAGGAGCCCACGGCAGGGTTCCAGGTGGATGGCAGAGCCTCTGGAAGCTGAGATGAAGGAGCGAGATGCCCCAGGGCAGACATGGGGCTGCTGATTTATACCACAAGGATTAAATAAAGTGAGGTCTCTAAATGCCTTCCCCACTGAGGCTGCTATCTGTAAGCCCTCCCCAGCCTTCTGCAGCTCACAGTAAACAGCACATCCAGGAAGCCCTCCCTGACTCTTACCACATTAGCATTTTGTTTTTTGCCCAGGACTTTTGGTGCCTTGCTTCTGCTACACATAGCTTCACCTTTAACAGCAGTTGCCCTATTGAAGCTGGGTGTCTTGGCATACTTGAAGAGACTGAGGCAGGAGGACTGCAAGTTTGAGCCCAGCCTGGGCGACTCAGCATGAACCTATGTCAAAAAAAAAAAAAAAGTTACTTTATTGAGGTTTTCCTATGTGCCAGCACATTTTCTCACTTAAACCTCCTCCAACTCCATGAGCTAGGTACCATTATTACAACCATTTTACAGATGAGGAAACTGAGGCACAAGTTGGGAAACTTGCCCAAGGTCACTCACCTGGTTAGAAATACCGGAGTGAGGCTTCAGATCCAGGCTGTCAGGACTGCAGTGTGCACGTTTCTAACCCCTGACTTGTCCTGGGTAAGCATGCACAATACTACCACCACCACTATATTCAGGATCCTTTGCAATGCTCAGCATGTGCTGTTGGGTCTCTGAGAAGTCTGAGGTGGGCAGCTAGGCATCCGGCCTGAGAAAAGGCTAGGACTGAACTGGCAGCCCCAGAGGGCTAGTCCCCTTAAACACACTCAGGTGTGGTTTAGCTGAGCGTGGTTTGCCTGAGCCAGCTCCAGGAAAGGCTAGTACCAGGAGGCAACATGTCAGCCACAAGCCCTCACTGGGCCACCTCCCGTCTCCAGGACTCCAATCTCATGGATGCTGGGCCATGGCCCCCCCTAGTGGCCAAAGGGTCACGACGGTGGCAGCATTGGTGGGAGTCAGGTTGATCTCAGCTTATAGGGCTTATCTCTCAGCTCTGATCCCAGGCTCCAAGGCACCCTGGGAGGTTAAAGTCAGAGGGAGGCCTCAAGTAACTGTCATTAGTAAACCCCCACCCTCTACTCCCCCTTTCCTTCCAGCCCTATTGAAAGAAGAGATGGTGATGGCAGAGTGCTTCCATCTCAGCTTCCCCCAGCACGGCCTGTGCAGATTGCACCCCCACCCATGCCTTACATTCAAAAAGAGAGGGCTTGAGGCTGAAGGGTGTCTGCCAGCAAGCATCGCATGATGCCACTTCCGGATCAGGTTAGGGTTTTGATCCAAGAGCTGGAGTCCCAGGAGGCTCACATCAGAACTGCTCCCCGCACACTCCATCCGCCTCCCCCAGGAACCTGCAACACACCACCTCGCCTTTGAAGGCAGGGCTCCTGGCAGGCTGCTGTTCCCATGGCAACCCCATACCAGCCTGCCCTACCCAGTGCTTCCCTCCACCCGCTTCCTCCACCCTGAACCCACATCACCTTCATTCACAGAATGAGAACTGCTTCACATCAGCAAATGGACACCCCTTCCCCCAGTCCTCTTTCCATCCCTTCTCCCTTCTCTCATTTAATGGACAGCCATAAACCACAGAGAAATGGGTGGAAAGAGTGGTGCAGGAAGGGGGCTGAGTTAGGGCAGATGGAGGATAAGGAATGACATGGGAAGGAGCCATGGCTCAGCACACCCCACCCCATCGTGGTCCCCAAAGGCCAGACCTCTGCCCCATTAGTTCTCAGCTCTGTCTCAGTTCATGGATCTGTGCTTTTCTCGCTCTGTGAAGACCCAGCACATAGGGCCAGGTCTCAGCTTCCAGGCCCAGGTCCTCTCCCCAGCACCAGCCAAACTCACTCAGAGGCCAGCTGTAATGGCTGGGTGCTAGATCTCAGCCCAGAAGCACCAAGGCTGGCCCAACCCTGGCCCTGGTGCCCCTCCTGCATAATAGACTACCTTGTGGAGATGCTTGGGGATTGAGAGGATACCAGTTTACAGTGGGATTGTGGGAAAGGCTAGAGAGGAATCTCAAACCCCAGCCCTGGCTAAACAACACAACTCTTCCAGCCAGGAGCGCTTGGCTTTCAGGGCTTTGGCAGGTGGTGTTGGAAAGTCAGGAGAGTCCTGCTCTGAACCTGGCAGTCCCCTCTGCAGGAAGCCCTGAGCAATGGTCAGCAGCTCAGCCTCAGAATCAACCAGCCTGGACTTGAATGATAATGTCCTCATTCATTCATTGTGTGACGCTTACCTTCCCTGAGCCTTGACTTCCATCTGAAAAACGGAGATAGTAATTACGTACAGTGACTAACTCTTAGAAGCCCTACATCTCTTCCAGATCCAGACCTTGAGATGCATTATTTCATTTAATCTCCCTAACAGCACAGTGAGGTAGATATTATTATTGTTATGTCTATTCTACAGAGGGAAAATGGAGGCTTGGAGATGTTCAAGTGGGAGAGCAGAGCTTTCCATGAGGCAGCATAAGAAGATGTATGCACAGGGCCCAGCAGCTAAGTCCATAACAAGGGGAATATGCTCGTGTGTGTGAGAGGCTCTGTGCCTTAAGTGGGGGCCGCCTGCGTGAACACAGCCCCACTGGCAACCCAGACTTCGTGCCCACCTGACAAGATCAAGGAGAGGCCCAAGCCTGGTGAGACTGGGGGTGTGGTACTGAAAGGGAAACTGAGCTGGGGGAGCTGTGAGCGAGCGATCCCCTCTAGCCAGCCCTTCAACATGGAACTAGAGCGAGGTGGTGAGGGCTCAGGGAGGAAGTGGCGCGTCCAACATTCCACAGCGGATGGACGGCTCCCCCACCCCCACCCCGCACTCCACAGCTTTGAAAACCAAGTCAAGGTCAGAAGCCTCCGGGGCTTAGAATCCCTGGGGCAGGATGGGGAGGAGAGGGAGGGAAAGAGACCTTAGCCGGGGGAGCGGTCCCTCCTGGAGTGCCAACCTAGCCCAGACCTGCCGCCTCCCTACCGCTCAGGTGGCCCAAGCCGCCGCTCTCCGGCTGCCCCCTCCCCTGAGAGGCTCCCCATTCCCAAGCAGCCCGCCCCTCCCAGACCTCGGCGCGCTGGGCCTAACCATCTCCCCCACCCCCACCTTGAGAGAATAAGCCGAACAAACAGCATTGTTCCCACACACAATGGACACAAAGAACTTGGGAATTCAGAATGGTCCTGAATTTCAGCTTCCTTCCCCTCCAAGCCCTAGAGAGATCCATTGTCTGTAAACTCCACTTAAAATACGCACCGCTGCTCCAGCTGCGGAGCCATTTAAGACGCAAGGAAAAGCTCCCGCCGCCCCCCGCCCAGCCCGGCAGGGAGGGGGAGGAGCAGCCACCGAGAGTCACTGCTCCAGCCTGAAGCTGAAAACGACCCTGTCCCCTCAGGACCACTCGGCGGCGCCCTTTTTACAGCTGAAAAGCCTGACTTGGGCTAGGTCCAGGGACCTGGTCTGCTAACTTATTGCTGGAAGGAAGACCGTTCACAGATCTCCAAGACCTGGGAACTCACTACCTTGGAAGGTGCCTGTTCTATTCCTGAAAAGTGATCGCTATTACAGGTCTTCGTTAGAAAGATTCCCCACCCACTTCCCCTGTGGCCCAGTCCTTCACTTCCCGCTCTGGCTCTGTTATTGGTCTTCCTCCAAAATGTGACGGTCTCTTGGAATTTGAAGGCTGCCAAAGCATTCGCCTGGGCCTCCCCCACCGTACCTGAACGACTCTGCCCTCCTTTCCTAGACACCATTAGTGGGTAGTTGTGAGTCTTTTCCCCATGCCCTTCCCCTCCTATGTGCTGGCTGATTGCGTCCTTGGAGACTCAATGGTCCCCAGAGCTGACCCCAGCATTCATGAATATTTATTCAACAAGTATTATTAAATGCCTTCCAGGTACTGGCCATGGTGCTTGGAACTAGGGATCAGAAAAGATCCCAGCTGGGGTGTGGTGGATCACCTATATAATTCCAGCACTCTGGGAGGCCAAGGCAGGAGGATCAAAAAGTCACTCATTCTGGAGAATCTAATGACTTAGTGAAACTCTCATTTAGAAAGAAAGAAAGAAAGAAAGAAAGAAAGAAAGAAAGAAAGAAAGAAAGAAAGAAAGAAAGGAAAAAGAAAAAAAAGAAAAGAAAAAGGTTGCTGGGGATGCAAAGACCCTGGGTTCAATCTCCAGTACAAAGAAGAAGCGGGGGGAGGGGGAGGAGGAGGAGGAGGGAGAGAAGAAAGAGAAGAGGAGGAAGAGGCCAACTCTCCTGAGGTTTGTAATTCTGGTGGGGAAAGTCCGATACTGATATCAGATAAACATGGGAATTAATGCACAATCACCAAGTTAGAAAGGGTTCTGACTATAAGAACTTGGTAAAATGAAAGCATCTGACAAAAGAATCTGATCAGTGTAGAGGGGAGAGGATTAGCCTACCCCAGGCTTCCTGAGATCTAAAGGAAGTAGGATTTAACTAGAGAGTGCAGCATTCGAGACGGTGGGAAGAAACTGTGCAAAGGCCCTGTAGCAGGAGGAAAATGGTCTAAGAACTGAAGAGACTGGTGAGATTAGAAGCCAGTGGGGCATGAAGTTTGGCTTCTAGGCCTCAGTGAGGAGTTTGACATGACTCTTAAAAGCAATGGAAAGACACATGAATGTGTGCAATAAAAGCTGATTGACATTTGCCCTACAAAGACACAGGTCCCTGGAATCACTGACTCAGAGAGCTCCTCCAGACCTTTACCCTTGCTGCTTCCTCTATCGGGTGCAGTCTCAGGCTTTTGCTGAGGTTGTTATGTTCTCCTCCTTCAGGTCTTTGTTCAAACCCCCGACTTAAAGGAGTTCTCCCTGTAGGTACTGTCACACTCTCCCCTTCAGCTTGTTTCATTATTTTTATAGCATGTCCCCATCTGAAATTCAATTATTTATTTCTTTGCCTGCTGACTGTTACTCTAGAAATTAAGCTCTTTATGGCTAGAGATTTTGCCTAGTCATTAAAATTGCATGCTCCAACTCTTGGTTGGAATGAGATGAGTCAGGAGGCAGGGATACAGAAGAGCAGAGGGAGCGTCCCCAAGTGCCCCCATCTCCAGCCAGGGTGGGGAGAAGACCAATTCCCGAAAAGTGCCCCCTCCCTGTCCCCACCACTCCTGGTCACCCATCTTTTCTTAGAGTTCTGCTGGGGACTGAGGAGACACATGCAGGGCAGGAAGTGCACTTCTTAGTGATGACCACAGTAATGGCACAGGGTTAGCACATAGTAGGCCCTCAATAATCAATACGTGAATGAACAACTGAATGCACTCCAAGATAAAAGGACAAGTGTTTGCCCACAAATACACAAACAGAAGTGAATAGTTATTTTTACATTTATTTTTATTTATTTATTTTGGTACTGAGGATCAAACTCAGGACCTTACACTTGCGAGGCAGGCATGGTGCCACTGAGCTAAATCCCCGCCCCTATAGTTATTTTTACATGTGTATTTGTGCAAGCTCCTGGGTGCCAGTAACTGAGAGACCTCCCTTGCCAATGTGGACCACTCCCAGGGGCCTGGAGGCAAGGCCCATGCATTGCACTGTAGTGATTGCGCTAATCAATACCCCACCCCCACCCCCGGCTGGATAAGGAGGACCTGAATAATCAAAGACAAGGGTAGAATTTTTTTTCCTTAAGTTCTTTTATTGTTACATTTTAGGTATACAATACATTTACATTTATCATTGGGTACTTGTACCTTTACATGATATATCTTGGTTCTTATTTTTTCCCCATTTCCTGTCCACCCTTCCCTATTTACAAATACTTTGTTTCCATTTTTTCCTTTTCTCATAATTTTTCCTTTCCCTTCTTTCCTTTCCCCTACCCCTTCTACTTCCCCTACTCCTTTGGACCTTTGCTTCCTATTTCACATTATCAATTATTCATTTTAATCATTATTTACACTTTCAGCTTCTCACACCAGAGAAACTATTTGGTATTAACATGTGTGTCCTATTTATTTCACTAAAGAGTATCACCTCAATATACATCCATTTAGCTATAAATCTCTCTAGTTTCTCATTCTTTATGGCTGAGTAGTACTCCATTTTATTTAAAAAACCCACATCTTCTTTATCCAATTTCCAGTTGATGGGCACTTGGGCTGTTTCCAAGCTTTAGCTATTACAAACTGTGCCGCTATGAACATGGGTGCACATATATCACTGTGGTATGATTTTTTTAATTCTTTGGGGAAGATCCCCAGCAGGGGAATAGCTGAGTCAAATGGGACCTCTAGTCCTAGCTCTTTGAGGTATCTCCATACTGATTTCCACAGTGGTTGCACCAGTCTGCACTCCCACCAACAATGGAGAAGGGTTCTTTTCTCCCCACACCCCCGCCAGCATTTGTTATTGGTTGATTTCTTGATAGCAGCCATTCTTTGTGGGGTGAGGTGGAATCTCAGTGTTGTTTTCATCTGCATCTCTGGAATGACCAGTGATATTGAACATTTTTTCTTATGTTTATTTGCTGCTTTTACTTCTTTGTCTGAGAAATGTCTGTTCATTTCAGATGCCCATTTTTGAATTGGGTCTTTAAATTTGGGGGGTCTGATTTTGACAAGGGTAGAATTTTAAGAGCCCTACTGGAGGGCTTGGAAAGCAATGGCTCCATGTAGCCTGAAAGTGCAAAGCCCTTCAGAGGCCATTCCCACCTCTCCTCTCCTACCTTACTCTTCTCCCCCGCCCACCTCTCAGTGTTCGCCCACCTCTCAGTGTTCGCTGTGTCTGTTTTACAGGGAATGTCTCAGTTTGGTATTGTATGGAGGCTGGAATAGAGATTAGAATTAGGTGGGACTTCCCAGGGTTTTGGAGTTTGGCTAGCTGGGCAACTTCTTATTCATTAATTCATTGATTCATTGATTCATTCATTCATGCTAAGGACTGAACTCAGGAACTCATGCAAGCTAAGTATGTGCTGTACCATTGAGCTGCACTTCTAGGACTAGGCAGTTTTTCAAAAAGGCATTTGTTGATTAACTGAGTGCCTAAAAGTGTAAAACATGACTAGGAAGTTGGGCATGGTGGCGTATGCCTGTAGTCTCAGCATTTGCCAAGCTGAGGCAGGAGGATCACCACAGGTTCCATTGCAGCCTGGACTATATAGTGAGTTCAAGGTCAGCCTGAGCTACATAGAAAGACCCTGTCTCAAAACAAAACAAAACAACAAAAATACCAAACATGACTAAACTGTCTCATACATAACAGCTGGTTCAGAAAAGATTATGAAAAAATGACTTAGAGGCCGGGGATTTAGCTCAGTGGTTCCACCGCCTGCCTGAAAAGCCCAAGGACCTGAGTTCAATCCTTGGTACCACACACACACACACACACAAAAAGATTTAGAGGGAAACCTGAGATGTATAATCTTCAAGTTCCTAGAGTACATGTTGGGGTGGGGTTAATTTCTAGAAGGGAGCTCTGGGATAGCTTATTGGAATATTTAAAATAATGACCACATTGGTAGAGCACTAACTCTGTGTTACATGGATTTTCTCATTTAATCCCCATGCTAAGCCTCTGAGTGTGGCGGGGGCGGGGGGGATGTTTGCTGTTACTCCATTTACAGATTGGCACACTAAGTCTCCAGGAGGGTTAAGCAGCTTGCTCAAATTTTCCACAGCTATAAAGTGGCAGAGTAGATTTTCAAGCTCAAGAGAAGGCTCTAGAAACTGCTCATACCCATGCAGTGGCCACAGCTGTGACTTGAAGCAAAGGTGGGACTTGGATGTGCAGATGGGAGAAGTCTATTCTAGAAAGAGGACACTGTTTGAGCAAATGCTGATAGGCAACGCTGCCAGATCTGTTTTTAAAATCTCTGGCTGGGCTTGGTGATGAGGCTGGACATGGTGGCACACACCTGTAATCCCAGCATTCTGGAGGCTGAAGCAGGAGGATTGTTGTGAGTTCAAGGCCAGTCTGGGCTACAAAATGGGTTCAGGGGCAGTCTGAACTACATAGTGAGACTGTCTCAAAATAAATAAAATGTCTGTTAACCTGAGGTTCTAAGAGATTCAACATCAGCACCAAAACACCACCTATTTTGGATTTTCCCCGATTTGGCATTTAGGATATAATCCTGGGGGATGGATTCCTTGTTTGGGTATGTCTTTTTCTAGTCCCCAAACAGAACTTCATGAAAGGGTGGATGGAGTGGAACAGATCTGTAAGAGGGTGGAGAGAAAGGAGGTACAGTACTTTTGATGAATTGGTCTTCTCCTCACCCTGGCTAGAGTTGGGGGCCACTTGGGGACACACTCTGGGCCAAGCTGGTCCTCTGCCCATTCTGTATCCCTGCCTTCTGACTCATTTCATTCCAACCAATAGAGTCAAAGCATGCAAATTTAATGAATAGGCAAAGAAATGATTGGCTCATTTCCCCCTGATGTAATAGTGCCACTATTCAAGTAACTCCTATGTACTCCACCCCCACCCCAATTCAGGGCATCTGATCTCGTTTCTGGCAAGAATCCCCAACTCCTGTATTTCTCCTGTTCTTCCTCTATTCTGAGTTAGTAAATCACTTCAAAAAGCCCCAACTTATCTCCCAAGGAATGGGATGTGTGGAGGATCAGGAAGCACACATTCTTAGGCCTGAACCACCGAAGTCTTCCTGGGAGGACCCATATGTTTCTGCCGGCTGTGAGCAGCGTCAAATCCAGGATAACAGCCCGTTTACTAAGACATTTTGTGAGAACCCATGTCCAACAGCTTCCTGTAACCAAACCCCAGCACATCGGCTGTTCTTTTCAGCCCCTAATTTAGTAATTCTATTGAGAAAAAGAGATTGTGGGTTTTTTTATTTGGTGTGATTTATTCTTTATCATATAAATAATAATAATTTACACAAAGCTCTTCCCCAAACAGAAGAGAATCTGTACATAAAAATAAACAAAAATTAAACTGAGCTGGGCCTGATGCCCAGAAAACCAGCCAATTCCAAACTCAACCAGGGGAAAAAAATCCTCCAGGTCCTGGGAGCTCTGGGGCCTTGGCTGGAATTCTGGGTGGAGGCTCTGATCTGGGAAGCCATTGCCCTCTCTTCCTAGTTCCTGTGCAGGATGATGGCACCTCTGGTAGCCAACACTCATGGACAGCCAACCAGCAAGCTCGTTGGGCTGGGAGGTGGGTGGGATTTGGACTCAAAGGAATAATCAATTTTAAAACTCCTGGGCAGCATTGCTTGCTGCTGCTGGCTTCCAGGGGCTGCAAGAGCTGCTGTGGTTGGGGAAGATGGGGTGCTGGCCAACACCCAAAGTGGGTGGAAGCTGCCTATGTCTCTGTCTTTCCCCTGTAGCTCATTAAAGGCATGGGCTGGGCAGAGCACCCTCTGGTCTCTGTTCCCTTGAAACTCTGGCCCCCTCTCTTGAGGCTTGTTATTTCATAGATATTGAAAGATGACAATCAATCTCCTTGGCCATTGATTAATTTCTCTCAACAGACATTCCTTGGCTCTTTGAAACTTCTTCCACCCCCATACCTGTCCTTATTTCCAGAAAAGCCTCCTTAAGGAAGAGTGCCTTTCCACAGTCTGGCTTTGGACCTTTGCTTGAGGAAAGGCATATGTGTGACTCGACTGTAAGCCCCTCCCCTGACCCAGGGCTGGGGTTACATTTGTGTTGCTCTGTAAGCATTGCAATTTGGAATGGTGGAACTGATGACGATAGTGGGTATGATGATCCCAAGGAAGACAGAGGAAAAAGGGAGCTCTGGACAGCAGTACCGAGCCTGCCCTCGTGTCTGGAGCAGCATCTGGATGTGACTGAATGGAGAAATGAGGGAATGATGAGTTGTGAAGGTGGTGGTGATGGTAACAGTGATTATGAAAAGGGGAAAGGGAAGGTGCAGAGGAAGCTTCCGGACAAGACAGGTAGCATAGCAAACAGTCAATGATGGAGCCAGATAGTCTGGGTTCAAGTTCCAGCTCCAGGGTGTAACTTAGTGGTAAAGGCCTTGCCTAGCATGCATGAAGCCCTGGGTTCCATGCCCAGCACTGCAAAAAGAGAAAAGAAAAGAAAAAAATAAAATCAAATTCCACCTCCACCACTTACTAGCTTAGGTAAAGTTTTTTAATCTCTCCTAGCCTCAGCCTCTGCATGTATAAAATGGGAGTCACAATAGTACCTGCCACGGATGGTGAGTGCAATGTTAGGGTGTGCCACTAAGCGCTGATGGGGTTGATGGGGGTCACAGCTACATGCAGTGTGAGGGCTGCAAAGCACAGCAGACAGCAGGGGAAAGATTAGGGGGACTTTGGTCAGGATTTATCACTTAGTCTGTGTGATTCCCACCCCTCCCCCACCTAGGCCTCCATTCCCTTGTGAATGAAATGAGAATTGGAGTGGATAATGTTGAGATCTCAAAAGTCCCCTTGGGCAGTAAAACTCTGTGTGTGACTGATGCATGGCCTCGTGGGAACATCCAGGCCCAGACAAGACCCTACAGGTCTGTAGGTCCAGGTGTAGATTCAGCAGGCATGCTTGTACCAGGGGTCAAACAGAAGAAGATGCAGAGCAGGTTGGACCAGCCTCATTTGAGGGGCTGAGCTCCTGCCTGGGGGAGTAGGATCTAGCTGCCCCTCACTCCAAGGCAGCTGCCAGGCTCCAAGGTGCAGTCTCAAGCTGGTGAGACGGCCGAGCTTCGGAATCTGGCTATACTGTGGCTGCGACCATGGTGGCATTCACTCTCAAGCTTGAGTAAATGTAGAGCAGCACTAACAAAATCAGCCATTTCCAGCTCAGCTTCTTGTTTGCATTCTTCACAAGTCTCTTCCTTCTCCCTAGGGTTGGAGGACAGGAATGAGAGGCAAAGGTTACCCATTCATGGTGCCTAATTAAATCTTTATAGACTCCCCTTGTTTAGGCCTTGTCTGGGGATGTCAGAGGGCTCTAAAGCCCCCAGGACCAACAGGTGCCAGCTGAGGGACAGGGGAGGGACAGACCATAGGACCTTCTCCCTTTGTGCTTTCACAGAGTGAGCCCCAGTTCTGGGCTCATCGGTTCCTAGAAGTCCAGGGTAAGGATGTGGGTTCATATCCAGGAAATTTCATCCATCCCTGTGCCAACAAGCATCAGTCTCTCAGCCACCTGAAGGGAGGACTAGAGCCCTGCCATGTCCTGGGTCCCAATCCCATGTCACTCAGCTCATGTTCTCTGGTCCCAGGCTGAATTTCACCCATGAACTGAGGCCTGCCTGCAGGTCTGTGCCTTCTGCTTTAGCCACTGGCTCAGGTCCCAAACCCTCTGGGCAGGGTGGTGATGGGCTGTGTGGATGCAGTTTGTTGATTAGAAGACCTGAGCTCTTACTAGGCTTTATGGTAGATGTTCTAGTGCATCATTTCATTTCACAGAATCCTCATTTTCAAATGAGGAAACAAGCTCAGAGAGGCTAGGCAACTTGTCCAAGGTCACACAGAAAATGTCAGAATCTAGATTCACAGACCTCCCTGATACCAAAGTCTATGCTCTTACGAACTAGCTACGCACCATGTACCCGGATGAACATGAGGCCCTGGTTCTGATGCACAGTGAACCAGGTATGCTGAGACAGTGTGGAGAGCCGGGATGATCCCCCAGGCTCCAGATCCACTTGTCCACCTGACAGTGAGAGCCCCCAGAAAGGCTACAGCAGAGCTCAGAGCTGTCCAGACAACTCAAAGAGGTGGCCAAGTCTCTGCTGAGTCAGCAGACCCCATCTACTTGCACCTCCACTGCTCCTCAAGTGCCTCTTCCCAGCCTGTGCCCTCCACCAAGTAACCCTCAGCCCCTCTCCTACCTCCAGGCTCCCTGAAGCACACCAGCTCCCTTCCTCCTGCTGCCCAGACCTGTAGGGTTAGACTGTCCAGGCTGCAGCTCTCCCGGTTGGGTTTGTCTTGGGGATCACAGCTTCAGATGCATCTCTGCACCATGCCTGTAATTTTATAAATCAAATGAAGACTGAATCTCTTTTCTGTTCTTCTGGAACCCCCCCCCCACACACAACTTCTCCCCGCTCACCAGCTGCACAATGTAGTCAAGGGGAAGGGGGTGGACTGGCAGAAACCGGTTTGTTTCTGAGGCTGGAAAACAGAACAGTAGGAAATTAACAGGCTGAGAAATGTCTGCTCGGCTCCGTGTTTGTTTTGCACCCTCAGTCTTTCTCTCCACAGCTCCCTCCTCCTGCTCTGCCACCTTGATCCTCGGTCCCCCACCTCGGCGTGGGCGCCTGGGGTTTGGTGGTTGTGTGTCTGGGGTTTGCAGGAAAGTGCATCTTGGTGTGTGTTTCTGTGTGTGTTTGGGGATGGCAGACCTGCCCCTCCCTGGGAGGCAGCTTAGCCAGAAATGCCAGTGGCAGAGACAATTGCGCGGGTGGGGATGCTGAGCCCAGAGCCAGCAGAGCCCGAGGGCAGGCAGAGAAGCACCACACAAGAAATTGATTCCATTAAAAAGTAATCTTAAATTTAATAAAAGTTATGATTTGATTATAGCCACAGAACCTACAGGCAAGAGGGAGGGGGGGCGGATTCTAGTGATGGATAAACAGAGAGAGAGAGAGAGAGGAGAGAGAAAGATGCTTAGGTTTGGATGGATGAGAGGATGGAAGGACCTGGGGGTGGGGAACAAAATGAGACCATTTTCTCTGCCTCGATGGAAGCGAAAAGTCTGTGGCTGCTTTCCAAAGAGGGAGCTGAGTGCGGAGCAGTAAGGAGCCTGCAGGAGCTGGGGCAAAGGTGCAGGCGGGCCCACAGGGAAGTGAGGCCTGGGAGAGGTGGGCTCAGCCCTGGGTGGCCTTCATCTCCAGTCTCAACCTGGAGCCTCTCCTAGGGAGTCTTAGACTTTGCCCGTTGCCATCTCTTGAAGACATGGTCAAGGAAGGCACTCCAGGGCCTGCTTCCATTATGCACTAAGTGACGGCAGGGGACATATTCTCTGTCCAATTCCCCATCCCCACCTTGCCTTCTCTCTTCCCTGTCAAGTCCAGAATTGTGCTCAGTCACAGAGATGAAACTCTCCTGACCCTGGGGGGGTGCCCTGTGGGTGAGACGTCCAGATGCAGCCTCTGGACACCATGGTCAGGTGAAGTTGAGAGCACTTGGCTTTCATCTAAGTCTCCTGTCAGTTCCTCCCAACAAGCCTGCACCCTGCCCTGAGGCCAGGTGGGAGGAGGCCAGGTAGGAGGATGCGGGGGCCCTGCAGGGTCAGCACCAGAATCTCTGAGTTGGGCCTGGGCAGCAAGCCAGGACAGCGCTACAAGAGGATAAGTGAGGCAAGAACAGGAAGATATCAGCTATCTGGGTGTCCAGGAATCAGGAACCAGGAAATACAGTCAAGGGTCAGGAGTCTCCAGGAGATAACTCTACCAGTTCTGCCCATCCTCTCTTCCCCATCTGGGCTGCTTTTAGCAAAGTCCACCTGAACTCCACCTGAACTCACTCTTTCCCCTTTGCTTGTTAAAGGCATCTGCAGTTGGAGACACTGAGGAGATAGGGCTAGAGGTAGAAGTATTAGCATGTTCCTTTCATCAAGGAAGAAAGGGAGGTGAGAAAGGGCAAGCTGCTTCCCCCTGACCTCACAGTGTGTAATAGATGGAGCTGGGGCTGCAGGCCACACGTTCAGACTCTGGTTTCAAGGTGAGCTCTCCAGACCCTACTGCCTTACCCACTGAGCTCTACTCATGACTACATCCACTGGAGGCCTCATCACTACAGCTGTCACCATGCTGCTCAACTCCACCACCTTATTTATTTTTTCTGGTACCAGGAATTGAACTCAGGGCCTTGTGCTTATTTTTTTCCAGTACCAGGAATGAATCCCAGGACCTTGTGCTTGGCAGGCAGGCGTGGCACCACTCAGCCACATCCCTGGCCCTTCAGCTCCACCACTTTAGCCAGGATCACCACCCTGGTCCCATCACAGTGGCCTCTGGGCTCATACAAACATCATGGTGTGTGTAGGGGGTAGCAGTTGGGAGGTTCATGTCGTGAGAGCAAGCCTCCAGAAGAAGAAACTCTGGCCCCGAACATCAGCAGAGGGTGCTAGGGACAGCAGAGCACTTGACCTGTAGCTAAGGGGATCTAAGCATTGCTGAGTGTCCCACTAGGACATCTGGCCACCCCCCCCCCACAAGGACTTCCAAGCTCCTTCATAGAACCCCTTGCTTGGAATTGAAAACAGGTCCCTTCTGGATGGGGGTCTCCAGCAGGCTTCCCTGCACCTCTGTCACACACATGTTGCTTTCTAAGATGGGGTCTCACACTGTGGCCAACTCCAGCTCTCTCTGCTGGATGTTTTTCTGTCCTGTTGTCTGTCAGAGAGCAGTCCAGCCCCTCCCTGTAATCAAATCCCGCCATCTCTCTCTTTTTTTTTTCTTTTTTTTGAAACAGGATCTTCCTATGTAATTCAGGTTGGCCTTGAACTCACTATGTAGCCCAGGCTGGCATCTAACCTGCAGTGATCCTCCTGTCTCAGCCTCCGGAATGCTGGGATTACAGGCATACATTACCATGCCCAGCCATATCTCACTCTTCTTGACAAGGATTTCCTTCCTCCTCTGCAAAGTCTGGGAATGCAAAAGGCAGTGCCTAGGGTGAAGGGAGCATCTAGGAAAAAGGTCCCTGTGGAGTCCTGACTGCTGCATGGCTTTCACCAATCAATCACCTCTGCTAGCCTCTTTCCAGACCTGGTCCTCCGAGGTGCATATGGAAGAGGGTCCAGGCAGGGAGAGAGCCAGTGTTGGTAAAGAGCCTTCTCTGTCCCAGGCCTGTGTTACAGGCTTGGCTTAAGATGTTATTTGATCTTTGCAACAGCTTTGTGAGGTAGCGCTTAGATGATCCATGCTCACCAGTGAAGGAAACAGAAGCTCAGTGGGGCAATGTGATATAACCGAGGTCACTCAGAAAGAAGGTGGCAGAGCCTGGACTTGAACTTGAATATGTCTGGATGGAAAGCTCATGGTCTTTCCATCCTGGGTGTCTTTGATCCCCCATTCAAGCTCAAGGAGGGCGGGCTCCTTCATGGGAAAAAGGTCTCCACTCCAACTTGGCAGTATCTTTCAAAATGAAAAATTCATACACATTTTGAGCCAGCAATCTCTCTTCTAGGAATGAATCCTCAAGAAACACTCATACATGTACACAAAGTGTATGCGATGTTCTTGATGTTCTTGTTTACAACAGCAAAAAATTAGAAACATCTTAAATGTCCATTAATAAGGGGGGGGCTGGGGATTTAGCTCAGTGGTTCCGCTGCCCGCCTCACAAAGCGCAAGGTCCTGAGTTCAATTCCCGGTACAAAAATAAATAAATAAATAAATAAGAGAGGGGATAAATAAACTTAATTACCATGTAGCCCTAAGAAAAGATGAGCTAAGGGCAGAGGATTTAGCTCAGTGGCGCCTCACCTATCTTGAAAGTGCAAGGTCCTGAGTCTGATCCCTGGGCGGGGCGACATGGGACACAGCTAAGAAAAGATGAGCTATACTCAGGAAGCTGGGGCAGGAAGATTGTAAGTTTAAGGCTTGCCTGGACACCATATAAGACTTCATCTCAAAGTAAAAAAAAAAAAAAAAAGAGACTGAGGGTGTATCTCAGTGGCAGAGCACTTGCCTAGCGTGTGCCAGGCTCTGTGTTCAATCCCCAGCCCTGTGGAGAAGAGGGGTGGACAAGAAAGAAAAGAAGAGCTAGGGCCCGGGATTTAGCTCAGTGGTGCCGACACCTGCCTCCCAAGTGCCAGGTCATGCGTTCAATCCCGGTTACCAAAAAAAAGAAAAGAAAAGAAAAGAAGAGCTAGACTAGGACCAGGCATTTAGCTCAGTGGTTCCGGCGCCTGCCTTGCAAGCGCAAGGTCCCGAGTTCAATCCTCAGTACCAAAAAAAAAAAAAAAAAAAAGAAGAGCTAGACTGGAACTATACTGATGTGGGAAGCTTTCTATATCAAGGAAGGAAATAACAATACCTTGGAATGTCGTACATATTTACCTACATTTCATATGTGCAAGTATATGACATATATGTTATTTATGTAGTGTTTTTTTTTAAGGCATTGATTGTTGCTCAGTAAGGGGAAGTGGGAAAAGGTAGGGAAGAATAACAAGGCTCCCAGCCTCCAGGAACCAGACCTCCACCCTCTGTCTTTCTTCAGGGCCCCATCCTCTCTCCTCCCTGGGGATTCCTGGCACGGACATCGCTGTGTGCCTGAGACAGGGGAAGGGAGTTTCTTATCACTGTCGGGCACTACTTCCTCCCGCCATCTCCCATGACCACCTGGCATCTCCACAGCAGCCTTAGACTAGGTGGCCTTCATAGGTCATCTTGATCATGGTCAGTGGAGATTAAACACATCTTGCACTAGAGGGTGAGGGAGCCAGGTGGAGTCACCCCTTGAGGGCTCCATGGCACGGTGTGTTGGAGCCATGCAACCTGGACTGCTCAGTAGTTCTTCTCCTCCTCCTCCTTCTTCTTCTGCAAACATTTATTGGTACATTTTAGATATACATAGTGATCACATTCATCATAGGGAATCTGTACCTGTACATGATATATCTTGCTTCTTTTTTTTTCCCCCATTCCCCTCCCCTCTCAGTTCCTTTTTCTGTCTCTCTTGTTTATCATTAAATTTTGTACGCAGTAAGTCAGACGAGATCTGGAGACATCTGATAAGGAAGGGATTGGGTGGGGGGAGGGTGTGACAAGCAGGAATTTGTTGAATGTTTTCTTTCATCTTTAAAGATAAGTCTTAGCTTACCTCATAAGACCTATTAGTAGGGACTTCCCTTACAAACGAGTACTGACTATCCAGATCAACTTCAAGTGACCTTGTCTTCCCCTCCACCCTTGTAGACACATACCCTGCTCAGGCTAAGTGCTGCAATGGCCTACTGTCCTCATGCAAATAGAGAGCCCAGGCAGTCACAAAAATTTTTTTTGGAGACAGGGCCTCCCTATGCAGCCCAGGCTGGCCTTGAACTCCCAGTGATTCTCCTGTGTCAGCCTCCCAGGTGCTGGAATTACACGTGGGCCCCACCACACCTGGTGCAAATGTTTTGGTGTTTTTTGGGTTTTTTTGGTACTGGGGATCGAACC